TGTGTGTGTGTGTGTGTGTGTGTGTGTGTGTGTGTGTGTGTGTGTGAGAGAGAGTATATTCTTAGTGTTAGCAGCCACTCAGAACAGGATGTGAGTTGCTGTCATGGCTCTTTAACATCCTTTCAATGTCCTCTGAAGAACAAGGCTGCTGCTCTTATAATTCTCCCAGCCGTCCATTCTGAACAGTTCAATGACAATAATAACGACATATTGATTTAAAAAATATTATTTAGATTCAGAAACATATTTAAATGTCACATTTCTTATTACGGTACAATCAGGAACACTGTAGCAACTTTTTTTCTTTTGTGTTCTTGTTTGTTTTAAACCGTAAAAGTGATATTTATTTATTTAAAGTTTTATTTATTCAAATGATGTACTTAAAGCTACATTTGGTAACTTCAATAAAATATATATTTGTTGATATTTGCTCAAACTGTTGGTGTATGCTGACGGTAGTACATGTGTTCCTCTGCCTCCTTGTGGAGCTCATTACACCGCGCACAGAGAAAAACAACCAATCAGAGCCAAGGAGGACAAATATGACTCATTAGTCTGTTATTGTGTTGCGTATTTCTCGCCTCAAATCTTTTCAGAAACATATTTTAGTGTTTTACTGTTTCATATAAAGTGAGACAGCCCTGCTTGGTTTTGGCTCGACTGTTTCCGATACGGTAGCCGGGCCACAAACCCTCTCGTGGATGGGTTAGCTTGCTTATATTATCGTGTGACTTTGGTTTTTTATGGTTCGTTCGGATTCATCAAAGTCTCACAATAACACAAACAAACTACCAGTTTCGAGGCAGCGATAAACCAACAACTCCTGTGTTCTGCAATGTAAAATGACTGTTTTTGTCAATGGAGTCTGGTGTCTTTGAAAAGAGCTCAGATAACAGTTTCTGTTCCATCGGAAAGGTCTGTCTGACCGCAGTGCAAGTATTCTAAATATAGTGTTCACTTAAACTGATAGGAGTCTAAAATACGTCCACAGTAGCACATTGCTCTGCTCCAGTGCTGCTGCTCCCGTCTGTTTCTACAAACTCCATCTACTGTCGTGATAAACTGACCATGGAGAAGTACCTCATACTACCACACTACAGAACATCTGGACTATCCCTTTAAGTAGAAGCAGCTGTCCAATTGTGTGTCTAAGAAGTAGAAGTACTGATAAAAATGGTGTCTTTTCAGACTGTTGTAATAAGATGCTGCAGGTGCATTGTGTCTAGCAAGTCTAGTGAACCTTCAACAATGCATTATATTTGTATTCATTAGTTCCTCTGATGGTTTTGAATGTAAACTCTGAATCTGTAAACTACAGCCGTCGACTGGCTTGAGTTAGACTGCATGTTCCCCTTCTATCAGTGAGGGAGGAGGGGCCCTGCTGTAAAGCCCATGTGTTTTTATTATGAGAAGCAGAAATCAGTCTCAAGATTAGTATTTAAACAATAGACTGTATAAGAAGTGGACGGAGTCAACGTGATGTCACCCAAGCTGATGTTTTGAAGCCTCGAGTTCAGCGATTTCGCCGTCGCCATCTTGGATCACGGCCATCGCCATGTTGATTTTTTTCGCATCCAATGAACAGAAGTTACCATATTTGAACTGTGGAGTAGTGACGTAGAGACGTCGTATATAGCCCTGGTAGAGGCAGAGACCTGTCAATCACCTTGTAGCCCCGCCCTAAAGCATCCCCTGCTTTATGGTCTGTGTGACTCTAAATGGACCATAATGTACTAAATGAACATCATGCTGTATTGAAGAAGACTTGAAACTAGAGATTGAGACCATAAACTCATGTTTACAATGTTTACTGAGGTAATAAATCAAGAGAGAAGTAGAGTCATTTTCTCATAGACTTCTATACAACCAGAGGAGTCGCCCCCTGGTGGACACTAGAGAGAATGCAGCTTTAAGGCACTCCTGCATCGAATTATCTCGGCAGAACCGGAGGTTGCCGCCTGGATGAAACGTGTCACCAATTGCAACTTTACATGGCTGCCTTTCTACAGCTCGCTAAGAGAGCTAAACAGTAAAGACTTCATTTTCAATCAATAGTGAAATGCAAAGTAGGTTATTTGCATAATCAGTGATGGAAATGAATCTCAATTGACAACGGGCGATTGTCAAATTGTCGCCTCGATAACATCAAATACCCTTTTCATAAAAATAATGTGGCAGTTGAAGCCTCTACTCATCAGTCCTTTCTTTGCCTATGAAGTGAATATATTGTTTTATTGTTATCTCTCATTGGAGACAATGAGCCACAGAGAAAGGACGCAGCTCTAGAGAGGAATATGTACTGTGTCTAATGAACAGAGTCTCCGTCTGCCCCTCTGGCTGTCTGCTTCTACTGAAATAGACTGAGAGAGAGTGTGTGTGTGTGTGTGTGTGTGTGTGTGTGGGGTACATCTTGGAAGTCAGCTCATCAGACTTTAATTTTTCAATAGTCTAACTGCACCTTTTGGTGCAGTGGGAAGAGAGAGCCCAGACCAGACCTGTGACAGGTCACACCTTAATGTGTCCTATCAGCTTTGTCTGTAAAATAGACCGTGCACATCCACTACTACAGACTTGTGGGTTGGGTTCTCAGAGCCGACTCATTCCCTGGACTGACAATGTGGGTTGGGTTCATTTCCTGTGACCCCATATGTAACCAGGACTCACTCTGGGCAGAGAGAATTCTACAGCTCTGTTGTGGAACTTCTGTCTCTGCTGCGCAGTGAATATACAGCAACTCCTCTGAACCAGCCACAGAGTTGGACCTGAAAGAATCTTTTAACTGTAACATTTTGGTCCCCAGAAAACGTCTTCTTCAGCGTTCGGTTGCACTTAGCTCCACCTTCTCGTGTCACAAAGAAAACAAGATGGCGACGTTTAAAATGACAAACTCCAGGCTTCAAACCAATGGGTGACGTCACGACTACGTCCACTTCTTATAAACAGTCTGTGTGTAGGTGGTGCAGTAACCTCAGCCCGATTTGCCAGCCAACCTGGTCTGTCATTCTACTTACAAACAATCAATAAATACAACTATTATCTGCTCAGGAATTAAAGTGGCGCTGCGTGTTTTCTTCTGCTGGCGGACACCAGGGCACAAACCTGCCATCTTTCATGCACCGTGTGTTTCTTCCACTGACTGGAAGCCCGGGTGGGGTGGATGTGTGGTGACAGTGGGAGGAGTGATCAGCATGTAAATCCAGACGTCTGTGTGTTGGCACGTTCCCCGCTTTAGCTGTCCGGCTGTTTGCATGGCATTTGCAGCTCGTGAGCACGGTTACGGAGCTGTACG